TGTGATAATATGGTAGGCTTAATGTAAAATGTGAAAATGGAAGCACTGTGAGCACTACTGTGCTGTCATACTTACAGGTATAAGCCGTAACCTTGGACCCCTCAACCCGGTAAGGTCCAGCTGTGGCCTTGACCTCCAGTCGATAGGGGGTACCTGGCTTCAGGTGTTGAAAAGTATAGTTTGTTAGGCCCCTCTTGACTGAAACTGTAGTACTCTCCGTCATGGTATGGAGGTTCTGGAGAGTGAAATGGAGCCATTCTGCTCCACCTGCATTGGACCATGAGGCAGTCAAATTTGAGCTGGAGCCACTGTTCTGGAATACCAATGCTTCAGGCACAACTGGAGCTGTTGGGACAAAGGAAGTTTGAGATGGGTCATTCCTCAACACAAGGGAGTAATTACCCAGAGAAGCGGAATCCTTTCTCTCTTCTCTGTGGAAACAATTAGAAAACTAAATCCCAATAAAAGGGAATTTGGAAAAGAACTCTTAATTGCTTTACAAGCTATCCAGGATGTAAACATGCAAAGGCGCATACATTTGATGACATCTCATGGATACAGGGGTTGTTTTTTTTTGGGGGGGGGGGATGTTAGGTGGTATATCCTACAAAGCCAAAAGCAAGAATAAGCAACTGTGACCACCCAGATAGTGACATGAATAGCATATTTGATACACAGAGTGGAGAGATGGGGATATGCATGGACCCCTTTGCTTTCTGAGCCAAAATAATACAACAGGGTTCCCAGGGAGATGGAGAGGGAGAGAAGAGAATAGAGAAATCGGGGTTCTGTTGCCAACACCTCTCTTTCCGCCTTGGCAGCACCAGTGCTATTATGTTAAGCCTGACCTGGCCTATAAAAGACTAACAAAGACCTCTGTCTGTTGAGAACTGCTGCTTACAACCTCCACAGGGAGAGGACAATGAGGAAGTCTCATAGTAGGATGGCTGAGCTGTGTCAAGTGTAGAGAGAGAGAGAGAGAGTAAAAACAGCACTTCATGCAAGAAAAACCAATGAAGAGGAGGCGAAGAGAAAGTACGTGCCATCACCATTCATCCACACCCCACCTTGTTTCCTAGTGGTAACAATGGAAGTCCTCTGCAGTGGATGTAACATCAGGTGTAAATAAAGGAATAAAGGCCAAGGACAGTGGCCACCCCTGCCCAGCAGCTGCTTTCACAGATTTCTGAGAGGAGACAATGTACTACCTTCTTGCCTACACTTGACACAGACCACTCCCAGGTCGCATCCATTATACACAATTGCACCCAGCTGTTTTTGGTCTACAAATCCCATCAGCCTCCCACTGCCAAAAAACATTTTCAGAGCCACAGTTGCCCATTCCTGGCCTAAAGGAACAGAGAGTAACTGATTTTGCTGCTTAATTGCTTAAACCCCAGTTATCCTCTGTGTACATCAGAGTAGATACTTGCATGCCTCTCTCACAAGCTGCATAGAAATGGTAGGTTA